AAAACCACAGCTCGGGGTCGTTGACCTGACCTCTGATCTCAGGTCACTAAAACTATTTTAGTATTTTTGTCTAGGTCAAATGCTACACAACCGTGCTCGTAATTGATCTTTATCTTTAAAACTCTATTTTTAGCAGCTATTTGAAGTTCGCGTCTGTGACACCGAAGTTTGCCGTGCAGGGGTCTAGAAAAATCGACTTTGTGACGTCATCAATGGGGCTAGGTCCAAATTTTTTATTTCAGAAGATGCCAAATTGATGGAAGAAAAGGTACTGAAAATTTTGCTTTCTTATTTCTAAGCGTTCGGGAGCTATCGCAAATATTCGCCAGGAGGGGGGGGGGGCGAAAAACGCCCCCCGGGCCCGCGAGGGTTAATCTAGTGTAGGTATGGGGCTTCTTGCCTCAGGCTGTGGGGCGTTTTGCCCTGGGGTTGGGGCAAAATGCCCCATTTGCAGTTGCTTCACAAAGCACTTCCTAGCTGGGAGTCCGATCATAAGTGAATGAATTTGAGGGATGGAATTTAAATTAAAATGTCCAAAGAACACATTGAGCACAAATTTGGCCTTCCAGGTGATGTGAGACAAAAGAAGGTACCTATGCAGCGAAATAAATTATCTGGGGCGTCTTGCCCAAGGCTACCCTACTTTATACCCTACGTACATTTGCTATACGTAGGCTTTTGTACGTGACGTACTTTTGTCCATACGTACTTTATACCCTACGTACTTCTGCGATACGTACTTTTGTCCATACGTACTTTTTACCCTACGTACATTAGCTATACGTACTTTTGTCCGTGACGTACTTTTGTCCATACGTACTTTATACCCTACGTACTTCTGCGATACGTACTTTTGTCCCTGACGTACTTTTGTCCATACGTACTTTATACAGTACGTACTTCTGCGATACGTACTTTTGTCCCTGACGTACTTTTGTCCATACGTACTTTATACTGTACGTACTTCTGCGATACGTACTTTTGCCCTTGGCGTACTTTTGTCCATACGTACTTTATATTGTACGTACTTCTGCGATACGTACTTTTGTCCCTGACGTACTTTTGTTCATACGTACTTTATACTGTACGTACTTCTGCGATACGTACTTAAATCCTACGTACTTTTGCTTACGTACTTTTGTCCTACGTACTTTAGCGATACGTACTTTTGTCCGTAACCCCGTTTTAACACAATTTGTGGTGCCTGATGCTGATTTTACTCAGTCAATAGCGTTTGTTTTTCTTTATTTCCCATAATAATGTGTTTCAGACGTCCAGTTTTATAACTTTAAATGACAGCTAGAGGTTCCTTTGGCATACTTCATAGTAAAAAATAACAAAACATGCAAGGAGTGTGGACTCTTAGCTACACATGAACCTATTTTGCCCTAGTTTTACTCTTGGCTCTCGGCCCAGGCCCTGTTCTGTCTGGGGCCGAACGAAGCCTAAATTATACCTAGGGGTGTGTAGGAGCGCGTTACATGCGTTGGAAGGCTTGAATGGACTTTCAACGCCCATATCTGCACCTTTATCATTAGCAGTATCAAACCGCATCCCTGCACTTATTCCCTAGGCTATGTTTTCGTGCTGTTGTCATGTCTCCTGTTCTATAATCACTATATGTTTGTCTGAGTCACAAATGGCCATTGAATTTGAGCAAAGTAATAGAAATACCCTAAAAACTTAAGTGCATTGCGTACACCAGTGCCTATCGCGCACCACCCCAGTTCACCGTCATTTAGCAAAGAACTCTTCATTTAGAGCCTGTGACGCTTGAAACAGCTGAGCGGCAACAGACGCGAAGCGTGTACAGCACATGAGTGAAGAAATATGATTATGTATGAAAACAATAGTGAAAGGTATTTTATTAACTCAGTTGGCGCGGCGGAGACGGACCGTCATAAAAGTCGGTCTCGTCATTGGTCTCATCGACAAGTGCGCCGAGCAGGGCCCGAACGAGAGCTAGCTACAGCAGGGGTCATATAACAGACTAGTTGACAAGGCAATATGTGCCGGTGACCGGGCTCTTGCATGTGTTCCTGTGTTGAAACATACCGCAGACTCACGAGTCCTGGCTGACTGTAGCCGTCTCTCGCATGCGGCAGTTCAGTTTCGTAGTGTGCCTATTCCACCTAGACGCGCCTGTTCGGGTACAAATATGTGCGGAGAGGAGTAGGTATTGCGGACTGGGATCATAAGCCGAGGCACAGAGATGCTGAAAGAGCACGTCACATGTCGGTGCCTGGCTGGTCCGGTCTCACTCGCGAGAGACGTCATGCATCTGAGGCCTCATGTGCATGGTACCGTCGTTGGCAGGCCCGGTTACTTCTGGTACCGTTGTCAATGTATTGTGCGGACTCAGGTAGAGCACGATATGACCGAAGCAGCGGTATGTGGGGGGGGGGAGGAGAGTCACTCTTCGTTTTTTTATCTTCCTTCCTAGTGGCTGACGTGAAAACTCGATTAGCATTGAGGGTATGGGCGGTATGCGGATGAGGATTGGTATGAAGATGATCAGCGGGGACATCCGCAGCGCAGGGCATCACTCGCTGGCCGCACGCCGGGTCTCGAGGGGACCGGTGACGGCACTGTCGCCGCCGTTGGTCGCGGCGACACGGGTGGCGGGAAAGCCAAGGGACCTGCACCATAGTGCGGTGAATGGTTGGGGCCTTCGCCGGCAGTAACTGTTTGTTTGGGACGCGAGCTATAAGTGTATTGTGTAATACTACCAGAGCACGATTTTCACCGTCACTTCGCCGTGCGGCAAGAGAGGAGCTCACGGCAGCCCGGTATGATATGCTGAGTTGTGATAAGTTCTACCCCGAGTCCCCGACAGTGACCACCTCTGGGGCACTGAGGGACCGCTTGACGCGGCCACTCGTCGGTTTGGGTTGCACCTACGCACCTACTAATTTTAACAGCAGACATTCGGAGACTGCTAAGTGGGTTTGTTTTGTAATGCTTGGTTAGAGCCACTCAGTCTATTCGAGAACATTTTAGGGCCGTTGTATGATGAATGAATGAATAAGAGGGGAGAGAACAATATCAGAATAAGTCGACCATCGGGCACCGGCTGTGTGCCGCAGCGTCTCAGTCAAAAGACACCATAATGGCTGCAATGCTCCGAGAGTCATGCTATGCTGGGATGATAAAACACGAAAGGGGGACAATGTATGAAAGGGGCAATGTAAGGTTCAGTCAACCACTTACGACTAGTGCGCTATAGCGCTGGGACGGCATATCAGCGCCGGGACATATTGTTTTGATGGCAGGTCGCAACGGGACAGAGCACACATTCGTTGAAATGGTCACTCCGAAGCTGACTTCCACCGGTTGTCTGCTAGGCGGACCGTTACCGTTAGTCCGGAACACGGAGAAGTGCAAGCAAGGATGATAATGAGTTAGTCGTGAGAATTAACCCTCGCATGTGTAGGGGGGGGGGGGTCGGATGGACCCCCCCCCATGGTTTTTCGCGAATAACTCGCGTAAAAAGCGGCCGATCGCGACGAAACTTTCAGTACCCTCGCATTGATCAATTTTACACCTACCCTGAAAATTTCATGACCCTGACCCAAATGACCTTTGACCTGTGACCTCTTTTCCGAGACCATGTTTGGCCGGAATCGCGATTTCGCGTATGTCGGCTCGCACTAGCCGCGTGTTTGCAAGCTTTTCGTGGTTTCAAACGTTCAAACATGTGATTTGATGTTACTCCCGTGTGTGTCAAGGTCACCTGAAGGTCAGGTCAGGTCATTGACCTTTGGTGACCTCGGGTGACCTCGGGTCACTTTTTCGAGTTTTACATGTTTCTAGGCTAGTTTTTGGAGCTGAATTCGAATTTAGCAACCATTTGAACATTTACGAAGTAGTTTTGGTGACTTCGTAACATGTTACGAAGCTGTCAGAGGCGGTTGACACGTACTACGAATACCCGTCACGACGCCTACTGGTTGACCTGACCTGACCTGACCCGACCTGGTCTAAATGCTTCAAGACATCATCTGTAATCAAAACTAACACGATATTCGTGATCAGCACCCCGAAAAACCCCTTAGCAGCCACACTTTACGACTTTCTAACAGGTCCCGATTTTCCCGACTTTGGGTCATTGACCTGACCTGGAAGGTCAACCAATGACCTAGGACCTTAAAATTGGGTATCATCGGCTTCCTCTCGTCACGTGCAACACGCTCGTTTTTTCCGCGAAGCTCTAGCTCGATCAGGGGCCAAACGGCAAGGGGGGGGTCCAATCGACCCCCCCCCCTACACATTAGAAGCTGGAAAACGCCGCACACATGCGAGGGTTAAGAGGACGGATGGCAAAGTGGCTGACCGGTCACCAGTTACTGATCACCTGACCAGTGTCTACTGTGACAGTTGGTCGCTGGTAACACAATAATACCGGTTATATGTAGTCATAAAAGTACGAGGCGTCAAGAGCCCAGTTGCAAATAGTTGTCTAATCTACTACTCATTTGTTCCTGTTTCAGGACTCAGGGCGCTATGCATGTAATGTATTTTGTGTATAATGTGTGTTTATGTGTGGAAAGCTATGCGTTTAAAAACACTTGCAATGGAAAAAAACAGCAATATACCAAACCCAGTGGTGTAAGAAAATGTGCATAATTTAGTCCCAACTGCTTTTTTACGCTTACAAGTGTCTGAAATTAAGTTACAGACAGTCTTGAATCACTGCCATCTAGCGTCAAAAGGGTGAACTAAAGCTTCATCCTACGACCGCAGCGGTTTGAAAGGGGTTTACAAAAACCGTTCCGGGTCAGTTAATCTTGAGTTTTGAGGAAAATGTTGCGCCTAGATATTATTTTTATGTCCTTGCGCCAAAACATATGCCAGTTTCCTTGCAAATCTCGGTTATCGATACACTCTAGTGATCAGTGACCTGCCCTGACCCGACCTCTTGTTTTAGACGCTGTCTTCCAGCCCCTCTCATCTCTTTTACTCGGTGACATGGCCTGACCTGCCGTGACCTTGTGTTCCAGACGCTGTCGTCTGGCCCGTCGCAGCTGCTCGGTCGCGTCACCCTACCGGGTGTCTCCGGACCCTGCGTGCCTCTGGACGTGACTCCCCAGGACGTGGAGAAGATCCACCACCAGCTCGTCTCCCTTATCGCCGTCTGAGCGGAGCCGCTTCGAATGGCCCGGAGGTGATGAACTGACGCACTGTGCACCGCGAATTCGTTGTAAGAGCAAGAAACCCACTGTGCATCGATGACTGGTGTAGGATATTTATTCGTCCCACTGTGCGTCGCTTATCCGCCGTAAGAAAAGGAAGACCGCTGCGTCAATAGGCTATTTTGGGGTATCTATTGACCCAATGTGCGCTGGCCGCTCTACTAGAACGATTCTTCCACCGTGCGCCCGCACGGCGTGATGTAGTCGCTCTGTCCTGTCTCTCACAGACTTCTATGGCGCTAAGTGATAACTGGGATGGATAGGAACTTCTTCCAGACGGTGTGTGGCATTGGAGAGTGGGAACTGATCCTTCGCGGCTCGTGCCTTCCAGGCTGATGGTCTTGTTTAGTGTTGGAAAACGGGAGTCTGTGTGCGCTCCGTGCTTGGAGTGTTTCCTCTGATCATTGTGTCTGTGATGTGTGCCGGGCGGACAGATTCTCTGCATTGAGAGCAGCTTTAGTTGAATCCACACCTCTATGTTAGTCACTAATGTGGTCCCTGCACAGTCGGCGCGTCCCGTGGTGGGCGAATGAGCACTGCAGGTTCGATATTGGAGGGTGCACGCTTCCCGAGGCGTTGGACGCTGAGGGGCACGTTCGCTTGCTAATAAATATTTATTTACTGGAGCTGACTGTGTGTGCGAACGATATGGGCCTGGTGTGAGAGCGCGTTAACCCGCGAGTTGCTGGGGGGGGCGTTAAACGCCCCCACTTTTTTCGCCGGGCCATAGCATAAAAACGGCGCGCCGCAGGCGCGCCAAATTTTGGGTACCTGTAGGGAATTGATTGAAGTTTATTGTGACGAAGTTTCAAAAAAATCGGTCGGAAAATTTTTGAGATATCGAGGTTTTAGTGACGTCATGATTTCTGAGTTTTCGACCAAAAACGGCATATGTTCAAAAAATCATATAAAATCACAGAATAGACATATAGACATGCCGTAAACGCCATTAGACTGCCAATACCATGGAAAATCAAATGGCTATCTTCGATTATTGATTATCGTTCCGCATTTTCCAAAATCTTGAACTGAATCTTGGCAATTTCTCGTGACTACTTCACGACCATGATACATGAATTTCTTAAATTGAACTTTTTTAGCCAAACACGTACACATATGATAAAATGAATGTCACCATCGTGTTCTACGCCCCAAATTACCCATAAAACATGTGTCACAGGCTGCGAATATCAGTTTTTATTTTCGGGGATATGTGCCTGCCCGGTTGACCTGACCTTGACCCTGACCTATGCTTGACTGACCCCTGCATGGAGCTGACACTCTTGTAGGCCTTATATGATGGATTGTGCACCGTTTTGACAGAGTTTATGACGAGAGGCGCCCATTGCGAAGTCCTGAAGTCCATGCTACTGAAAGCCCGATTTCAGGTGTTTGACCTGACCTTGACCTGACCTGTGACCTCAAAATTCAACTTTAAAGTACTCATCTGAAGCGTCTCGTCGCGTTCTTTCGTTTGCCGCCTCGTGCGTTTCGCTGCGCCTATTGGTTCTCGAGTTATCGGCTGGGGGCGTTTAACGCCCCCCCCCCCCCCAGCAAACGGTGGGTGGCGAAATACCCCAGCAGCTGCCGGGTTAAGAGTTTGGACAGCGTACTACTCTAGCTGTGGTTCGAAGTTGAGGCAGACATATTTTACTTACTTGGTTTTGTCTGGATAATGAGCGCCCATAATAGGTTAAAACACATCTGCTTTACCTCAAAGCAGAGTTTTACTAGGAATAACAGTCACCCCCACCAGACATTCTGAACCACGGACAGCTTTGCTCTCTTGGCGTCAGTATATCCGATTCTACTGATTATTATGCCGGTACGGTCTAAATTATGTATTAACCCTGACTCCGCTCACCGAAGCTACAGATTCCTTCGGCACGCACTCACGCAGATATCTGAGCGCGTGGCTCGCTGAGTATCCGGGATGTATTATTCAGTAGGTCACGGCTCACGGATGTCCCTAGTGGGGTAAGTGCTCAGCTAAGTGGTGGCGTGTCGTCTGTCCGGTCTCCGTAAGTGATCACCCGCTAGGTGTCCGATATCACTAATTCGTGATACGTCCCGGCTAAGAAGAGAATATGGACCGGACACCGTAGTAAAGAAAGTGTGGACAAATGGATGGACAAAGCACCTTGAAAAGTCGTGCTGTAGTGAATCCGTGTTCAATGGTAGTTTTAGCGCTCGTCCCGTCTATTATCTGAATAGTAATGTAATCCGTATAATTATGTAACGTGGAGTCGTCTCTTCATCCCTACCAAGCTGCCGGTGCCACGCTCTAATGTTACCCGTGATTGCTCCGAATGAATTAGAAATAAATAGCTGTGAATTTACCGGTCAAACCATAGATTCAAGCCGGATCTTTAAGCACGTCAATGCAAATGGCATTATACGGGGGTCTTTACACGGCCCAGAATCAGATATTTCGCGAGTGCAACGCACTCAGTGCCAGTTAACCCGCGCGGGGCTGGGGTCTCCAGCCGAACGCGCGGGGCTGGGGGGGGGGGGTAAATTTTACCCCCCTGTTATCTCCCGAACTAATGGTCCGATTTGGAAAATTCAAACGCCAGTCGAAAGCTCTCATCACGAACAACTAAAAACATGTACTTAATTTAAAGTTTGAGGTCAAGGTCAAGGTCAGGTCAAGGGTACAAATTGCAAGTTTCTACAGTATCGGCCTTGCACCGTATGTAGTTGCCGAAGAATGGAGTCATAGACTGAGACTGATTGCCCAAAACGTGTTCTTTGGCTACCAAGACAATATTCCTTGCATATGTTACCCATTTCATTAACATTCAGAGGTCAAGGTCAAGGTCAGGTCAGGTCAGGTCACCAAAAACAAAATATAGAAAAGGGCATGTGCGACACATGTTTTATGGGTCATTTTATTCATAGAATTCAATAGGCACACTCAATAGGTGATATGGACCACATCTGGATGAATTTCAGGTCGAGGTCAGGTCAAGGTCAGGTCAAGTGAGGTCAAATCTTGAAGTTGGTTGTTAAGGCCTAAAAAGGTGTCTATGTGATGCAGTTTTTCACGGCGAATCGAATGGTGCTATTTTTCTTTCCGTACGAGGTCTAGAACTTCCAAAAAAAAACTCATTAAAAAAATTGTTTGTCGTGACGTGATAAAATTTTGAATAACTTCCACATTTTTGAACCGATTCTTCTAAAAATTGGTATGTAGGTGCACATGGACCACTTCTCTGACACATATCCCGATTTTTTCGATACACCCAAAATTTTGGATTTTATAATTATCTTCCCAAAAAGTCAGTTTCTTGAAAATAATTGGGCCAAAATCAATAATTTTCAAAAAACCGAGATAGCCATTTGATAGACAAAGTAGAATCACGTATAACCTTTTTTGTTACGTCTTGATTCCCTTAAAAATGAAGATGTTAGCGGCGTTTGAAATTTTGCCTTTTTTGAGGCGAAAATGGCGAGCATGACGTCACTAAAACGTCATTTTCTCAACAAATTTCCGAAGGATTTCGCTCAAATTCTCAGGGAACGTGTCAAATTGATGTAAGAAAAGGTACTGAAAGTTGCGCCGCCGTTTTTCAGATATTGCAAAAATTCGCGAGGGGGGGTAAACTTTACCCCCGCCCCCAGCCCCGCGCGGGTTAATCCTTTGCAGGAAATTAGCTTTCAGAAATAAAGGAGATATATGATTAGCAGAGAACAGCGATGTATTCATAGCATATATGTAGGTACAGCAGCTGTAGACTTTGGTATCCTATTTCAATATACCCTGGTGGTATCATCATTGGTATCATTACGAGCGAGCGAGCGCAGCGAGCGAAGTGAGTCTTTTCAATATAACGGAAAAATCTCAGTATGAGCGGCCCGGCCCGGCCCGGCCCGGCCTGTAACGCTTTTGAGAGGCTTATATCTCAGCAACCGCTGGACCGATTGGCCTGCGGTCTTTTTTTGCTGGGTAGCCCATCCCTTCTACCCCGTAATTGACTACTTTTGATACATCTCAGTGACCGTCGTCGCACGTGCCACGTGAAAAGTCAAGGGTGTTCACTGTTCAAGCTGTTTTGCAAAAGTAGTGATTTTGAGAGGCTCATATCTCAGCAGCCGCTTGGGCGATTGTCTTGCAGTAATTTTTGTAGGGTAGCTGCATCCCTTCTACCAAAGGTCGGATACTCTTGATCTATGTGAGTGACCCCCAGTGCACGTGCAAAATACAACAATAAGAGGTGCCAAATTTGTTCCCATTTCAATAACTCGGTAATTACTGGGGCGATTTCGCTGACACTTGGCATACAGGTAGGCACCTACCAGGCAATGCATTCCCATGTGTTGCGGTTAGGGTGCTACTGCACGTGCGCACGTGCAGGGGGCGCTCCCAGATCTCGAGAATGGCTGGGCCGATTGCGCTCAAATTTGGTACACGGTTGGGGACCAGTTAGTAGTGTGCCGTGCAAAAGTCAGTTTGGACCCCGTTTGCACGTGCGCACGTGCAGAATGCCGCTTCCAGATCTCAGGAACGGCTGGGCCGATTGCGTTCAAATTTGGCACACCGCTAGCGACCGGTTAGAAGGGTGCTTTGCACAAGCCCGTTGAAAGTACCCTCTCGCCTTTCCGCACGTGCAGGGCTCACTATCTCGCTCGCTCGTTCTTCGCCCAAAAGGCGTTTTACTGGTATTAGGTATGTCTCGTACCTCGAATCGTGAACTAATACCCGTATTACTTCCGTTGTCGGATTCGTTTCATTTTGTACCTACCTAGATAGTTAGTGCCATGGAAGGTTTTCGTCAACATTTGCCGATGATGTTGAACTAATACGAGTAGAATAGGGCACCAATGAATTCGGAATAAGATGGCGAATCGACTGATATGCAGCAAGATCTACTTGGAAGCCAACGAAAACAGAACACGCTGTCGACCAGCACTCCGGGCAGAGGCAGAGGTACCAGAATCTATTGCGACATCTATACTATGTCTAGGCCTGAAGTACCTCGTAGTGTTCATCCGCCACGATGGATTTATTTTTGTCAATCGGTTTGGTCCTTCTGGCCGGATAGGTCGTCAGAATTATCTGAAGGTGCCTGAAATGTCTCGTTAGTGGAAAAAATGTCTCGGTATCGGAATTCCACTATCTGGCAACTAGCCCTATGTAAACGCGGCTTATGATTGATGGCGGTCACGACTGTGACGGCCCGGGTTCCGCAATCCTGTGTTGTTCGTGCGGCACTGAAGCGGCACCGATCGAGTTCCGTATTGAAAACATGAACGGAAAACGTCCGCTTCGTCTTGTAGCCGCTCGAATAAATACATTATAGTGATCTGGCAGCGTGCCGTGCATGCCTGATTGCCGGGTTCGTTACATTATGAGTGACTGGTCACTTAATGTCACGTTTTGCCGGCCTCTGCCTCGCCAGCTGACAAGCGAGCGGATGTTCGATTGATGATACGAGCACTCCTTTGCCACTGCAACTTAATACGGACGCAATGAATCGTATTAATATTCTGCACTTATTCAACATGGAATCTCCTCCTCAACGGGAGCACGAGTCCGGGACGACGGTCGCCCGTGCACACGGAAGCTGGCATCACGGCGCGGCTGTCACCAGTGCCTGTCGGACACCATCTGAGCGCCCCTCGG